ACACAGCATCGCTAGAAATCCCAGTAAGCGGCTGAATACCTCAGACGTGGTTACACACTCAACAGCAACAAAGTGCCCAAATAGCTCTCTTGCTTCCTCTGCTCACTCCACCTTTCCATACCAGCCCGGCAACAACCTTTGTGCCGCTTGTTAAAGCCAAGTTTATAACCAAACCAATGCCTTAACCCAGCCCAGGACACAGCAAGAGGTGATTCTGGCAAGCAGAGAAAGCCAGTAAGATGGATGGAAAGAAGCCAAGAAAAAAAAAATAAATAAAAAAGGTCAGTCTAATCATAGCCTGGGCAGAAGGAACCAAACCAGTCCCATCCTGCTGTAAACGCTGGCACGGAGAACACTCACTGCCAAGTGTCCAAAGCGTCGTCAGTCAAGATCTGCTCCTCATGAGAAAGGCAGCAGTGTGGCCAGACAACCCAGGGATTTTTCTAGACCAAATCTGATTAAGCACTGGTGTCCATAACCAAGAATGCAAGGGGTTCTAATAGTACCTACAACTTGGTAGATAAAAAAAAATTAACCAAACTCTCACTCCTTTCATCAAATTAGTCCATAAACTCCTGTAGACTGAGTGCAGTGGTAGAACTTATTAACATCCTAATGTATTTAGAGTAGCAAGCTCTTCGTTGTTGTTGTTTTAATCACTTTGTGAAGTCTGCTATTACCTGATGGGCCACAAACACCAATACCTAGACAAGTTAAGATAAATACTTCCTACACGAGTGCTGAGCTTTCGATCACTTCACAGATAAAAAACGGAAGTCTTAAAGCCTTAACTTTATTCTTTAAACATTCCATATTCATAACTACGTATATTTTCAGATGTGATTTGTTGCAGTCTTCAAGCTGAAAGGATAGCAATAACGGCAGACTGAGCCTGTTTTCTGTACTGAATCATATTGATATCACTGAAATTGCCCAAATTACGGGACAATGGACAATCTGAACTCTTGGCATTACTGTTCTGATCACACATCTGAACGTCTCAGTAACACTCCAGCCTGAAAGGAGCACTTCCAACAGCACGCTGTAAATACTGCTGAGTCAGCCACTACTAAACTTTAAAAAAAACACTCTCCATCTACTGAAATCACTACTATCCCTCTTAGCTGCTTCCATGACTTCTCAGCTTCCAACTTCCAGGTTTCTAGCAAATTAATGATACTCAGTTTAAAATCTGACAGCAGACCAGAATAACATTGTTACTGAAAATCTTTCTGTATATGTAAGAGTTGGAAAAAACATATTGCATAGATAATGTGCCAACCCATAACAAACCACAGAATTACTTACCAAAATTTAAAGGCCTACCATTAGAAAATAAAATGCTTATTTAGCTGCAAAAAAAAAAAGCAGCTAATAGAAGACACCAGCATTTCTGAACAAACATATCATCTACAGACTATTTAAGTCATTACAGACTGAAGTGCTGAAGGATCCCTGCAGGAATATCACTGGTAACATCACTCCTGCTCAGCCCAAAGTTTTACTTTGGTATTTCAATCTGGAACCCAAACTTGTTCAAATTTGCACCTTTTTTGATCAAAGTACAACTCTACCTTATTTCACATTAAAAAGGATAACAGCACAAAATTAGCCAGTTTCATAAATTATATGCCTATGAACACAAGTATATTAGCCAACTTGATTCCACTTCAGCAAGAACTACTCCTAGCAGGATGCACTACCCCCATACGGATGAGCAGGCCATCTAGGCAGAGTTTATCCTACCATGCCAAAGTATGTCATGAGTGAGTTTATTTGTTTTAGAACATACAGTAAGCATTTAACATACAAGCCTACCTAAAAATGGCACTGACGGTGTAACATACCTGCATTTTACAGTTCATACATTAAAACACATACATTCCATGCATGCATATTCTTGCTACCCAAAATATTTAAAAAACCCTTTATGTATCTCTGTTATTACTGGAAATCATAATGAATAACTGCACCGGTCTATTTTTATCCTAAATGCTAGCAAATTAACCAAAGAAAATATAACCAGTAGCATTAACGTATCAAAAGCATCTCCTATGTTCCCAGAGTAGTAGTTGGCCTATACTGTGAACAGACTCTTGCCAACTTAGCCTTCAAAAATAGTAAGAAAAACAGAAAAAAAATGTTTTAAAGCTTTAGAAAGACCATATTTACACACAGACTTTAAAACCTGACCATATGAAAGCCTAAATATACAGGCAAATATGTAATCATTTGCTTGGTATTGG